CTTCTTCTTCTTTCTCTTTTTCTTTCACTGTAAAAGCAATAGCACCTCCCCTCCATTTTACAACAAATCTAAGCCATATCCTCACATGCATCTAACAGTGTTATAGCGGGTATTTCATTAATAGATATATCTTTTATATTAAAAAGTATGGAGATAGTAGAAATACCTATAATAATTGGTTTTGTGTTAAGGATCAACATTCTACAAGTTTTAATTTGATTATTATAGCAAGTTAGAAAAGTTGAGTGAATTGCAATATCATAGGTCACAAAATATAGTCTTTTTATCCACATGCTATGTATCAATAGAGAAATTAAAGTAGATCTCCATCATAGTTTGGTTAAAGCTAATAAAAAACATAAACTTAACAAAATTAATGATATTTTTGTACTTGGTAAACAATGTAAAATAGTATATTACAAATACAGTTATTCCTTTAGAAATGATAGTAACATAGTTGATTGGTTATATGTTGTGAAAACCAAACCTATGAGTGATGTCCAAATTGTTAAAGTTAACAACGATGAAGTAACTGAAAGAGAAAAAATATGTTAACTTGATAAGTTAGTTGAACCCTATTGAGTGGCTCCATCTATCAAGTCAGAAGAAAATTTCATTTTTTTATGTCACTAAGAATACTTATATTTATGTTGATTTTGACAAGTTAAATGATTTATTAAATACTAGTGAACATATATAAATGGATGAAGATGAAAAGACCAAACAACTTTAGTTTAAAAAAAATGATGATGGACATGAAGATGATGAAAATAAAGATAAGGAGGATTCAAATTAAAAAGAAATTTAATATATTTTAGATATAAAACTTCATTGTGTAATTAAGATATTTGCTTTTGTTTTATAATGCATTAGATTTTTCACATTTATTAAACATTTATTATTATGGTTATGGTCTTAATGAATAAGTTGTTGAATAAGTTATGTTATTGTTATTTAGTTAGGTTAGATAAAGATTATAATTAATATATAAGAAAAGAAATTAACTTCACTGATGGTATCACACTAGCATAAATAATTAATGATAGATGAATTTGTCATTGATTTACTGTAATGGTAAATTAATGACAAACTCATCAATGAAAGTTAAATGGTTAGAGAATTATAAAGAGTTTGGCAAGAAATGCATGAAATTAGAATCGACTGATAGATTGACTAACAAAGTAAAATCCATTGGTGAAATTTATACTCATCGATAGACTCTAAAATAGTTGGAGATTGACATAGAGTTTAGGTTAAAATTCATGAATTTGGTTTGGTCGACAAAAATACCAACACATGAAAATTCATTGGTGAATTTAGTGGTTTTAAAAAAAATTCAAAAATTCTTGAAATAACCAACAGACTCACTAAGGAATTCCAAAACATTTATTGATGAGTCCATCGATGCTTTGTTGACATGGTAAATCATTGATGAACTCACCAACATAATATTCTATTGGTGAATTTAAACCCAAATATATGAGACAATCCCTAAATTTCCCTCTCTTTCCTCTCCCTCTCTCTTCTACTAATGATCGGGGTTCTCTCTCTAGAATCTATTTTAGATAGCTAAACCTAACATCAACGATGGTAATATTAGATTATAAGATATTACAATAAAGTTCAAAGAGATAAAGATACATTCTTGCTTCGAAATAGACAAGTACTTACATACTAAGTAAGACATTTAATCAAGCAATCTTTATGTTAAAAACTAAAGTTTGTGCATAGAAAGTCAAGATTCTAACATTACCTAAATGATTTCTAAAGTTTCTTTACAATAATCAATCATTCATGAAAAAAGTAACTTTAAAAAATGGCTATATTTTTTATAAAGGTTATTTGGTTATATGTTCTAAACTACTTATAAATATATGGGACATTACAATCCAAAAGAAGCATTAAGAAGCGTATTTATAATCACCTAAAATTCCTCAAGCTCGTGACCACATCTCTTATAAAGACATGTGCTTAGGTGTCAACTATCATAAAAGGGGGACACTTCCTACAATACTCTCATCCAATGAAAGTGATTCAAACAAAAAGAATCCTAACATATTCTATCTATATTTACCATGATCATGGATGCAACATTGAAAAGTGTCAAGCACTCACTGAAGAGATAAAAAAGATTGATCTTCAAAGAATACCTACAAGAATTTATGAAAAATAAGATATAATATGATCAAACACGAAATAATTATCATGATACACTACCTTAGATAAGATAAAAATTAGAAATCATATATCTATTGCCTTTTAAATTTTCAAAAATAAAATAAAATAATGCATCTCCATGTCTCCAAACACAAAATGTATCCATGAAATTTCCATGGAAAAATCTCCATTGAATCTCCATTATATATTCAAGTCCTCGTGATCAACTATATTTAGGTCCCCAAGACCAATCGTTTCCAAGATCTCATGAACAATTGTTTTTAGATTTTTTTTACCACTTGTCTCTAGGTACCATGATAAATTGCCTAAAAAAAAAGAAAAAATCTTTCATGAATTCAAAAAATAGCAAATATTCAAAGGCATGCCTATAAAGGTAACATTTTTATGCACGAAGATAGGCAAAATTTTATAATGTAAGTATTTTATCCTCTTTTTTTGCTAGTTAAAGTCTTTTACTACAAAGTAGCCCATACCAAAGCTACACAATGCAACCCTCGTCTAAGTTACACATGTAGCCTGCATTGAGGTTGGTATCACCTTAGTTTAGGTTGTCATGTGATTAGATTGATTTTTTAAAACTTGACTAAGCTACCTTGTAACTCAAATGGGCTGATTTGCAAAGCCCAACCAAGTTCAGCACCCTTTTTTTTTTTTTTTTCTTTTCTCATTCTTCTCTTTTTCTTTTTGTTTTTTATTATCTATGTCGATTCTTTTTTAAGCTGCTACCGGTATATGTCAAGTTGTACAAGCTACAACTGCAACTATAACTTAAGTTGAGGCCACCATAGTAGAAACTATCATGTAAATAGCATTGTCACCTTTCATGGTGCAAGCTACATGCCTTTGAATGTATACTGTCTAGCAATATGTCACCCTCAACGGTAGGGCACAATGGTGCAAGCTACATGTGACATGGGCAAGCTATCCTGTGTTATGAGTGAGCTATGAAATAAAGCTGCCACCTTTGACGGTGAGCTGCTCGAGATTTTTTCCAATGCAGGTTATGTATTCTCACGTTTAGCAAGAGAGAAAGGAGATTTTTTTCTTCATTTGAACAACAATAAAACACATTTCAACTATCTCTCTATCTACTTTTTTTTACACTATATTTTCCTAAAATATTCTAAACTGACTCAAGCATCGGAGGGTTATTTTGCAGGTAACACTCCCGTCCAACCTATAATTTTCTGCAAAGAAAGCTCGGTCCAATGAAATTTTCTCATCTTCATCACTAATGATGATCCAATGCTTTGGAATTTTTGTGATGAAATTGATAAATGGGGAATCTGATCAGGTTGGTGCGTCATATCAGAATCAGGGACAAAGTTCTAATGAACCAATTCCTGACAAGCAAGCTTCCAATGGACCAGCAAGAAGTGAAGAGGCTGTCCATGGTGGGAGGCCTAATGCTGTTAGGCCACCTTAACCAATCCCTTATTAATGCAGTTGCTGTCAAGTTCTTGGAGAAGTAATCCACGCTGAGATGGTGTGTTCCACATGCTCAATCTTTCTTTATAATTCGATTTCTTTTTCCTCGTTACTGACTAGTAAAGTTCACCTATTCTGTGGTGGTAGGCAACTATAATGCAAAACTTGAGATACATGGGGAGAATGGGTATCATCTGTCATGCTATTCTTAAGGACCGGGATCATGTCAAGGCAGTTCATCTTCAACATTATATGTTTCAAGCTTTAATCAGAATTTTCCGTTTCATCTGATTTAGAGAAGTGTGATTGATGAAATGCAATTAAACTATGAAGAGAGAAAACTAGCACTTGATAGTTTTGGAGTTTTGATTACGAATCATTTTCTGTACTTGTAAACTTTAAGGTTTCGAACATTTTGCAGTTTCTGCAAGATAAGGACAGAGAATGTGTAGGAATTTCTGCAGAAGTATTGCGATGATAGAAGGCATCCAGATCCACTCTCATTCTTCTATGAAGCTCTTTATGTTGGATTTGAGTGGGGTGATGTTTTGAATAATGATGACTTCAACCACCCATCTCCATCAACTTCAGGTTACTATCTCTCTGCGTGAACTCTTTAGAAATTGGTCAGAATTTCCTTAGCTTTCATAAATGAGCAAAATTGAGTTTTTTGTATATGGCAATATCATAAGACTTGAAAGTTCAAATTTTAACAGGGGAACGACAAGCAACGAATCAGAGGGAGAGAAAGAGATGGAGAGAGCAACTCGGAGCAATCTTGCACTACAGGTTCTAGCTGCCATCTTCACCCATAACAAAGACCTCCAGCATTCTCATTATAATATAAAGATAAACGAAAACAAATACCTCTAGAGAACTGAAATTAACAATCTTCTAAGTGGTTTCTTAAGTACTAATTCAGTAATTTTTATGTGATTAAGGATTAGTACTGAGGGAAAGAGCAGGAAAGTTGACATTGAATGACTTAAGACAGTACTTACGTCTCCCTATTGAATATGCCGCGAGGAGGTTGACCTTGTGTTCCACTGTAGTGAAGAAATATGTGATGAATCGATGGCTACACAGAGAGGTCTGAAATGCTGAGTAATTTTTGAGAAGTTTCAAAAGATTCTGTTGATTGTGATTTTGTGACTGTAATCTAATGTACTTGAAAAATATTTACCAGTAGCTAACAGATTGCTTTCGTCTGATCTTTCCATTTATCCATACTTGGAGTTTACAAGGAACTACAAGGCATGTTCGTTTTAATTGTTTTCAAATTTAAAGAATCACTGTTAGGCTTCTACATGTATTTGTTAAATAGGACTTCTTTTGTCTGATCTCATTGTCTTTACACCATAGCTGGTCTCACAAAGTGAATGGGACCTGAGTAAAAGTTGGCAAAATTCCTCATTTCCAATGTTCTTGTGTGTCGCAACCTCATTCATTGGCAGAGTTTCTTACAACATTGAAGTCGGCTTCAATATGTTTTCTTTGATAAGGCAGTAATTGGTGGATGCACCTGCAGCCTTAGTGAAGAGCCGGCCGTCTACGGCATTATCATAATAGAAAACAAAGGAATCTTACACAAATGGAATAGGAAAATTCTTGCCATGGTATATACGTGAAAACCTAAAAATTGACCACCTCGAATTTTTCGTGGTTGTACAATAAAGGGTGCGAAGTTCTCAGACCATCAAGAATTTAATCCTCAGCTCTGAATACAAGTTTCAGATTCCATGGAAAAGTACTTTTGTTTCAAGAAGCAGGAAGATATGGCTGACACTTTGGTTTGTGTTAGACGAGTGAAGCAAGAAGCATCCGAAGAGTGGGATGAGAGCATGCCATTGCCAGGAGACATAATTGAAGGGTTTGCTGAGAATAACGCAGATGAGTTATTTGTGCCAGCTAAAGCCAAGTCTGATCTGAGTTCGCAGCTTGGAAAGATTAGCCCGCAGACTGAGACAGTATGGTTGAAGGTTAGAAGAGGTGAGAGGACGCTGAAGCTCCGTGCCAGAGTAATGCCAGATAAGAGCGCAGTGCTACAGAGAAGATTCACCATTAAAGCAGCCAATGATGATAGGCATGTTGCAGTTTTAGGAGACTTAACCTTGGAACAATGCACAGAGCTACAAGGTAGGCTTTCTTCCTCTGTTTTATCTTGACAATACATATGGTTTTTGACTGTACTAGAATCATTTTAATCTAAAAACTTATTAGATAAAATTATTTTATAAAACTCTAGATCAGAAATTAATATATATATCCTATGACAAACGCACAGCCTAAATGTCTGAATGTGAAGTTTTAGACCCCTAATTCCTCTGGATGTGTCTCAGTCATAGCCCATAATTTCGAAATGGTGAAAGACCAGTGAAAAATTTTGGTACAGCGAGACCCCAGCACACAAGTCTTCATGACCGTTTTCCCACCGCAAATTTTGAAAAAAAAAAAAAAAAAGCTCTCATAATGAAAGAAAACATTTTTCTCCGACTTGGGCAACTAAAGAAAATCACTGTCAGGTTGCCATATCTAGCTCTCTCCTTTTTTCCTCACATGACTGTTCTGTCAACCAAAACAGGAATGGTATACTGTATTAAAATAAGCTAAGTTCTTAACAGTCAAGGAACTGCTTCCCATGCTGTGGACTTAGCTAACACTAAAACCTGCCAATTTTCATAAACCTAACAAGTTCAAGGATATATTTGGTGCAGAAATGAGCAGGAAAGTAGTGAATATGGATTCCTGGTCATTTAGCAAGCGGGGAGTGAAGTATGACTGGAAGATGAAAGTTGATAACTATCTACCGGACCAGCGATCTAGTGTTGTTAGTTCTATTCTGTTCATGCCTCTACAAGGTGAACACAGCATTGAAGCCACTACAGGCAGGTGCATGGCCTGGTTTTCAGCAGCAGTTTCTTCAGGAGTTCCTATTGTGTTTGTCAATATCCAAACAGAACAGACTCTAAATGTGGTATCAATCTTTCTGCTAAAGAAGATTACTTGTTAGTTTTTATTTGTAGACATTCCATTTCATTATGCGCAGGCCTCAGGCCTAAGACAGTTAAGAATTGAGTGTTTAATGGAAGCTAAAATCAATCCGAACAAAAACAAAATATACATTGATCTAAGCTTTATGTCCGCAACAACCTAAATCTCTAGAAATTTATTAAATGAGAATTTGCTTTCTAACTTTATGTGTCTCCAATGGAAGGAGAAAACTTTATGCACAGGCAAAGAATTGAGTTGGGGTGGGCAGAAAAGCAATAATACACCTGTTCAGATATTGCAAGGGATAAGACTATGGTTTCTACCTGGAGTTGCAGAAATTCTGCTTGAAATGATACCAGAACCTGGAGAAACTCGTTTTGGAATGGACATCAAACGAATTGATGAGGTAACTAACATCACTGCACTTGCAAGCCATGACCTTCAACTTATCTTTTAAAAAAAGCTCATATCGGATTAATTAATCGTTCTGGCTTAACCACATAGAACTTTGCACTACTGTCAGTGAACTGACTGGTTGTTGTTAATTCGAATGCCATTAACAGGGCTTTGTATGTGTCTGCTCAGTGACAAAAGGTTCAGCAGCTGAACGTGCTGGCCTTAGCGACCTATATGAAGAGGCAAATAAAGTCGGCCACCTACTTGTGATTTCTCGATTAGAAGGAAAGAGCCTCATGCCTTCAAGTGTCTGCTCGATGGGGCTTATACACTGTTGTGATCACAATGAAGTTAAGGACACTCTCATTTCTTCCATTGACGAAATGGATTCAATTCAAATCCACCTCATGGCCTGGCCTAACCAGACTCATTCTAGCAACACTAAAGCAAATGGTGTTGCAAACCTTCAACCTCCAAAGGGTCTTTGACAAATTTACTCTTATTATTTTGCAAAATAACCAACTTCAACCACTGGAATCGGGAGGGAAATGTCATATGACTGGTCATATCAGCAAGGGGAGGGATAATGTATGCAATTTATTGAACTTCAGAAGAATTACTTGTAAAGTCAGTAATATGCAACCCAGAGGTTATAGTTGTATGCAAACAAGTTTGGATTCTGATTTCTGAGTTTAATTGGACAAGCTGACGGTGTTCTGTAGCTTAGATTGTACATGAAACAAAAGGATTGTAAGGACATTCTGCCTCCAACCACTTTGCCTTTTTTTAATATTCTTTTCTGGACAAATTATTGGACTCCCACTCAAGTATAAGCTTTGCAGGAAGGGCAGTTCTTTCCACTGCTGCGAATGCACGAGTAGCATGGAAATGACTGACAAAAGCTTGCATAAGAGAATCATTATTCCGTTCTTTTTCAGTGTAAGAACAGCCCATGCGTATTCAAGATTATTGTTCCGTTCTCCTACACTTTTGTCTTGTCTGAGTCTCCCCACGCCATGATCTTGATTGCTACAAGGAACACGGGCTTTGGTAAATATTGGCTCTGTTTTCACCCTTCTGTCCTTCACTATATTTGATCATTAGCAATGAATCCGTTCAATGAAATCATGTCAAATGCTGACCAAATCCATTATGCATTGGCCTATTGTAGGAACGACCCTACTTCTTAAAACCCAATAGGCTGCATAATCTTGAGAATCTAGCAGTCTGCAGACTGTAAAAAAGAACATGTTGACAGTCTAGTTTTTGTTCTCTATATATTAAAAATTAATTTGTTAACACTTTGCAATGTATGTTAAAAAATAATCCGTTAATACTTTACAAATACTAATCAAATAAATATAAATACAAAAAACTTCAATAAATAAGTTATTGAGTTACAAAAATAAAATCTTTTGAAAAACTTTTTAAAACATAAAAAACTTTGTAGGGCAACCAAATCTAGAATAAATAATTTTTACTAGTTTAAAAGATTACAAAATGAGTATTTTCATCTATAAAAACTTTGTATCTATAGTAACTTATCAGGATAAACACTTTATTTTATTTTTTACTACCGTATTTTGCTAAAATATTTGATGATCTTCAATAGTTAAAATAGAAATTCCTGATTAGAAGCATGTTGACTCTCTAGCTTTTAAGATAAACACTTTATTTTATCTTTTATTACCATATTTTACTAAAATATTTGATGATCTTCAAATTATTATCATTCTAACTGAAACATTTAATATGTAATAGTTAAAATAGAAATTCCTCATTAGAAGCATGTTGACTCTCTAGCTTTTTAAAAAACAATTCTTCTTGAAAAAAATTTTCATACTCTATTCTCACTCTATTCTCTATTCTCGTGTGTGAAAAATATATATTACAAACTATTTAGGTTAGACATTCTTGCTCTACTCCAAGCATTTCTATAATTGTTTTTTTTATATATGTGTGTGTACGTGTAAGAGAGATAAGAAAAAAAAACATTTAATAAATATTATCTTTTATTTTTCTAAATATTATCTTCTAGCTTTTTAATTTGCTGGGTTCTTAAAACACTACAAATTATATTTCATATAAAAGACACTTCTTTGATAGTTATCTTTGAATAACTTTTATTTATTTTTTTCATAAAATATATTTAAACTCTCTATATAATTTATTAGATAATTAATTTTTTATCTAATTTGAATAAACTATCAATCTAAAAAAATTCAACTTCATTAATACAAATAATTATTTACTAATCAAAGCTAACTATTTTAATATTTACACGTATTAAAACCTTTTACTACCAATGTTGACTGAGAGCCTTTGGCATGGCTTATTGCTTGAATTAGGATTCAATTGTCGAGTCATGGCTTTCAATTGCAGAGCATACCATCCTTTACATTTTGTGCTTAAAAAGTTCTCATTGCAAGATTTTATAGTTTTATTGACAAATCAAATATATCGGTGTGAGATTTAGATTTCATCGGTAGATTTTTTTACCAACTAAATCACTAACAAAAAGTGTCCGTCAACATCCTTTTCATCGGTAATCCCACATTTTATCACTAACTCTGTCAGTAAAAAAAATATTGTCAATAGTTTTACAAACAAAAAATACATACAAAAAAAATTCCCTTTGGAAATATACCAACAGATGTATCCTATCGGTGATTGTGGCATTTCCAGTAAATATTTTTCAAAAATATCGACGAACAGTATCCATCAGTATAGATGTTGGTGATCGTGTATTGTGCATGAAATATTATATTTGTATTATCTATTTATCTTCATGCAAATACTTAAATTATAAATTGTCCATCGCACAAAACAATAACAAGCTTATAAAATAACAATTTCGTGTTACAAAATATCATCCATTAAATATATTACATGAAAAAAAAAGGCTTCACACATTGCTTTATTCTTATAGTTAGTCAGAATTTTCTTCTTCTTGGTTGTCAATTAAATAGTTAGCAGCTTTATTGCAAACTTCAATATTTAGCAACTTTATTGCAAACTTCAATATGGATATCATCATCATCTTCATTAACATTTTGCTTGTCCGCTAAAGCTCAAAACAACATTCAACTCTTCTGCATCAACATCAATAAAATTATCATTGAAAACATATAAATTTGAATTTTCTTCCAAGTCAATTGAAGTAACAACTCGATATGGTTCAACAAACTCACTAACTTGAAAGACTTTAACTTGTACATTTATGTCTTCGCTTTCATCTTGAACAACTTTGACACTACCACTAAGTTTTGTTTTTAAAACGGATAACCAATCAACTCTTGATCGATCCTTTCTAAAGGAAGGAGTGTATATATAATAAACTTGTTGACATTACTTTGCGAAAAAAAAAAACATTGCTTTGCTAGAACAAAGACATCGTTTATATTGTAGAGTCTAGCTTTTAAGTTGATTTTGACCAGACCATAGTGAAGATTGAATAAAAACACCCTATACTATTCACTATGATATTGCAGTTCGACGACCTCTTCTAATCTATCATAGTAGTCAACTTCTAACTCACTACTAGTTGATCCTTTAACATAAACACCGTTATTGTATGTCTTTTTTTTATACCCGTATTTTTTAGCATGGAACACATGTACATTGATAAAATACTTATTATAGAACTTAACTTTTCTTTCAGAGCCTAAGCTTAGTGAAGACAGTGACTTAACATCACTCATTCTTATTTGATAAACCTTATATATAATGTATAGCAATGAATAGTAAATAAGATTTTTGTAATGACATATAGTAGCTTTGTAAGAGATAATGAGTTTGTAATAGTATTTACATGCGTTCTAAACGATGTGGTAAATTGTTCATCTTGTAATTGAAATATTTGAGATTCGATCAGCTGTGAGTTATTGGACAGTAAATATTATAAATATTGCCTACAAGATTGTTCCAAATTATATGAGTTTATGATATTATAATATATAAATAGTATATTCTTAACAAAGTTAAATTAGTAGTATATATACTTACTGAATAAAAGGTATCAGCTCATCACAGTTAAATAGAACATAATTATGTACTTGTTTGAACTCTATTTCTGACAAATATCTTCCTCTTATGGTATTTTTATGTGTGAGTAGTCTAACATTCGAGAATATTGACAAGTTCTCATAAAAAGACGCTTCATCACTATCATCATGCCATAGAACATGATTGATTCTCGTTCTCAAATGAGGTTCGAAATAGTACGAGATAAATATTGAGATCTCCTCAACAATATAGGCTTCATATATCGAAGCCTCAACATGCACCTTGTTCTTAACCTTTTTCTTGAGATTTAACAAGTCCCTACATTGAATTAATCAAATATTTTCAAGTAAGAAAAACAAAAAAAATACTTTTATATATGAATTACATTACAACTTTAATATCTAACCATTTAAATGGATACATCCATCTATACTGGATCGGTCCTCCAACTTTTACCTTGAATAATAAATATATGGGGAGATGCTCCATTAAGTTAAAAAATGATATAGGAAATATCATCTCAAGTTTGCATAGTATCTCGACGATATTTGTTTCAAGCCTCTCAATATGATCAACATTCAACTTGCTGAAACATATATCTCTAAAGAGATAATTGATCTTTGTGAGTGTATCCCATATCCTTTTTGGCAATAAATCACAATAAGCTAATGGAATGAGTGTTTGTATAAACACGTGGCATTCATGACTCTTCATTTCATACAATCTGCATTCCTTCATATTAACCAACCTTGACATGTTCGAGTATGTCCATCAGGAAAATACAGATTCTTAAGCCATTTATAGACTATTAGTTGTGCATTTTTATCTAACATGAAGCTTGCTCTTGGTTTTGCTACCTGTGACCCATCACAAACTAATTAGTACTTAAAAGTGCATTTTTATCAAGGCTTTATATCATCATTTTGCACTTGAAGTATCAATAACTCCTTAACTAGAACATGTTTTGTAATAACAAGTCTAATAATATAAGATACCTTTAATTTATGGTAAATGCTCATTTTAAATGCAGGTATTCTTATAATTCAAAGGATTGATTGTTGTGATTAACTATTGGAAGTGAAAGGACAAAGAAAAGGCTAAGCTTATGAAGGAAATGCCAATTCACTTCAAATTCAAACACTGTTCAGTCATCGAATCATATCTAGAGCTATAGATCTTGGATTTCATATTAATTTATATGGCTGGAAAGATAAAAAATAGGCCTACAACTTTCATGGGTATGGAAACACCCAAATTTGCCATTTTCAAATTCAAAGTTTGGCCACAAAGAGAAGTCTGAATCTGTCTTACAATCCAGCCCAAACACTACTCAAAGTTTTATCCATAACTGGAGTTCTAGAAGTCGAAATGATCTAAAATTTGGTGGGTGGAAGGAAAAGACAATTTCCAACAACTTTCATGAAGAGAACCAGCTCAAATTCGGATGGTAGAAATGCGATTTCATCCACACACGAGCATGAGGGCTATCCACCACATCCACCAGCAGCACTACTCCGTATTTTAGACATATCTCGAGCTGTAGTGATCCAAATGATCTGAAATTTGGTGGGTAGAAGGAAAAGACAATTTCCAACAACTTTCATGAAGAACACCTTGCCAAGTTCTGATTGCATCAATGTTAATTCAGTTATCCAAAGTGCATGAGTGAT